CCAGCCAGCAAAGGTGTGCCTGAGACTATGCTGATGTGGCTGATGCACACCTACATGATGAATTGCACTGTAGTAGTGGTGCTGCATGGGACCCAGCTCAAGTCTGCCTGAGCCAAAGCTGACTGTGTAGACTTAGTGGTATATTTATGCTTTACTGTCCCCAGCATTTCTGGCTCTAGTTGCATGTTGTTGAGGTATCCAAGTGAACTGCATAGACTCAGCTCTGGTCTCTGGAGAGCTTACTAGTTTTTTCTCTGCTGTCTGTGAGAGTTGTTAACCTGCTGAGCTGGCCTTGGAAACTGTACATCCATGGATGTGTAAAACCATTTGTGGGCTCATTAACACTGTGTGATCAGAACCAGTTCTTCAGAGAGCCTTCTTCAGTGTTTCTGCACATGCTTTTGTGATGTGGTTATGTTGTGGCATGAATAACAACTGCAATGTGACCTTGTGGAACTTGGATTGGTATGTGGATTTTGTCAGGTAATTCTCTGACAGGTGACATAGAGTGTGAAAACTGGATGGTATAGTGTTGAGGGCTAGGACAATGATAGCATTTCATGTCTTATAGGCTATCTTGCTATCTCAGTACATTTTCACCAATACCCAGTGAAATTTCTGAGACTCTCTGTTATGCAGTATGAGCCCTGTGAACTGCCTTTCTCTGTATTATGCCTTAGAACAGCAGTTCCCAAAACATGGACTGTGGATATGCAAGTCATGAGGCCGCTGTAGTATATAAAGGAGTTTTAATTGAGATTCTCTAGTATTCTACCAGAGTTCATTGTTCATTCATGTTCACCTGCCATTCTGTTGTGTCTTTGTTTTGTGGTCATCTGTGGAAAAAACTGTGGAAACTCTGCCTTAGAGCCTACATCCCAAATGTCTATACTGTGCTGCTTATATGGAAAGTGGAGCTGTTTTAGGACTTCGGCTGTTTCTTGTTTAAAGGAGAACAGGGAAGTAGTAGAGGGAATAGCAAGATTACCGGTGCCAGGCTTTCTGTGCACACAGCTTGCAGAGCTTGGGTAGTTCTAACAAAATGAAGGAGGTAGCCACCTGTGAGGAGGATTTTTCATGCCTAACCTTATACTTTAAGAGCTTATAGGATTAGGTAGGTGATACTGAGAGCTGAGCTGAAGTTTGTCTGATGAACATGGAGTGTAGAGTTACCTTGAATTCATCTTGAACTGTTAATGCTGTTAATTGCTACACTGTTATGCAGCTGCAGTAGTGAAGAAAGAGCTGGCCCTATCAAAACAACCCTCCTATTGGGGTTGAGCCATTGAGATGGCTTCTATTGGGGCTACCAAGCAGCTCAAAAGGGCTGGCGTTTACCTCCAGGACTCTGGATTCTTCTGTCTCCCTTAGCTCATCAGGTGCTTTATAGGCACTTGCTGCTATCTGTCGTGCTCAGGGGAACACTGACATTAGTGCCCTGTTTTTTTTCAGGGTTATAATACAATTGTGTCCTTCCTAAAATTGTGGTAGTGGCAGGGGTGATCTGTCATGAAGGCAAGTCCACATTCAAGTTTTGTATCCCTTACCTGATGACTTTTAAGTGCAGAATATGTCTGGAGAAAGAGGTATGTCCTCATAATCCTGGGCATTCATGTCTCTTACCGTATGCAGGCATGTGAACAGGATGTGTTCTGTGGGCAAAATAGATTTATTTCCCAGGTGATTATAATCACAGTAATTTCATAGGTAGCTTTACCATCAGACATTTTTTCTGTATCTAACTGTATTCTGAAGGGAATAACTTTCTGTTTAATTATAGGATGGATCTTTCTTCCCAGTTAGTTTCCCAGATTAAGGTGTTCCAAACACCCAAATTTTATAATTGCGTTCTTTTTAAAAAATTGATGCCTGAGAGCAAGCTTGTTGCTTTAAAGGAACCATCCCTCCTTTAAATTTACAATGTAGACAGTCCTAATATAGAAGTTAAAAAATGAATTACAGAAATAGAAGTGCAAGACTGGGAAAGTTAGAGAAAAAAATTCTTCCCTCCTGAGTACTGAATAAGTCTTTTACAACTTTCCATACTTCCAGTAGTAGAGATGTGAGCTTTGCTTTCCACTGAAGAGTGATTTCTGTGGTGGGAGACTGATACATGAACTTCTACTTCAGAAACCTCTGTCTGTTGAACTAAGTGTTTTATTCTGAATCTTGTCTGTGGAACCTTCATTTAGTGAAATATTTGATTAATGCAAGCATTGTGTACTCTTGCCCTGGCTAGAGATGCCTTGGCATGCGTTTAAGTCGAAGTAGTCATTTCTAGGCACATGAACTATTTCTAATAGGAATGAGAGAGCCAAAAGGGGAGAAAGGTGAGGGAAGCTTGTGTTTAATCTCCTATCTCTTGGCATGGGTGATGTACGAGCACTGATGCTGAAGGTTGGCACTTCCTAAGCACTGATGGAGTCATCTCTCTGAGGAGGGAGGAATAGTGATGATTTGCTTGGTTCTTCTGGTGGTTGCCTGACCATAGTTGGCATGTAAAAAGAAAGAGGCTGTGAAAAGCTCTTCATGATCCAAGTGAATCTCCTTGGTGATACTTGAGAGTCAAGAAGTATAGGAGACAGGAGGGAATATATTCAATGCAGAAAAGAGAAGGTTGACTTCCTTGGGGCACATCTGACTGGACAGTCCATTTCTGAATACTCTCTGGCCTTCTTACAGCTAGGTTTGAACAGTCCAGAAGACACGACCAAGTGCTGGGTAGGCCAAGGTGACTGTCTCAGATCCTTCTCATTAGGTACTCCTCTTAAAAACTTCTCCGGGAAACAGATGTAGAGGTGACTTCCTAGGAGGAAGGCCTAAGATTGACAGGAACTGAAGGACTTAATGTGCACATAACCCATAGGCCCATGCTTTTCAAGCGTGAGGAATAGGAATATGGTTTTTCTGCCATATAGCGTAAATCTCCATCCTCACATCCTAATGGCACATGCAGAACCATAGCGTGAACATGCATATGGACTAACCATCTCTGGGAAACGCAGCGGCTATCAGAGTAGAGCTAAATCTGAAAATAGAAAATGTTTCTATGGTTGGTTGGTGGTTTTAATCCTAACGTAGAAAGGCTAGAGGCAAGGTACGCTGAGAGTACTGTGGGTTGTACGGCTGTGGAGTAAATCAGAACAGCGTAGCTGGAGCAAAAACCCAGCTAGCACAGTATTCTGTCTCTGGCAGGAGGCAACAGCACATGTTAAAGGAAGAGTGTAAGAATGGAGCAAAGCATCTGTTGGTTCTTCCCTCTTATTCTCTACTGCTTTGGGACTTCTGAGCTAGAAGCCACATGTTTGTCTAATTCCTCATTTTGGAGTTGTCCCCCCCACCTTTCCCCCCGGTAAATGTTATCTAAGTAAGTACTAAACACATGAAATCTTTTGGAATCTACAGTCCTGTGGCTGCATGTTCTAGAGTTCAAGCACAAGTGTGACAGTAAATGATGTTCTGATAAATATGTACTGTTTAGGGCCAGAAATTAAATTACTAAAATGTATTTAGATTTTGGTGTAATGAATTTGTTGGGCGCAAAATGTGATGAAATTCATATTAATATTTAGGGGTTTTTTTGTCTTGTGTTTTTTTCCCCCCTCCTCATCAAGGGTGCCAAATGCCTGATACTTTGAATTCATGGTTTCTAGTAGCCCAGCTTCATGTCTGGTAAGTGAAAAGTAAAACACTAATATAACTATATTCAGGAAATGGAGTGATATGTACCTTAATGTGAGAACAAGTAGGCTCCATGGCTATTGATAATAGTGGATAATAATTTGCTAATTACTGAATTTTAGCAGTTTTCTACTAAAGAACAAGAAGTCCCATAGAGAAGCTAACATCTTTTACATCTCTAAATTCCTCAGTAGTGGAATGATCTTTGCCATTGAGATTTCTAAAAGCCTTGCTCAGCCTATGTGGAAAAATCTTACTTGAGTGTTGTAGGAAAAGTTTAAATTTATGTAAAAGTGGTTTAAATTGGGAGAATTTGTGGTGATTGAAGTTGCTGCTCGTCAGAAGCATTTAACAAATTATAGGATTGGCATTTATTCTTGCACCTCTGAAATGTACATGCAGGTTGGTGAATGCCAGCTTGGCTACATGTAAAAATATTTAACACCTTAAACGTTAAGTTTTTTCCTTTTTTCATTTGTGAAAATAGTAGCCAAAAAAATCAGGTTTTCAGCTAGTATTACATACTTGTAAAGGTCAGAGGGATGCACAAGGGAGTACAGTAATTTTTGTTAAGTGCCAGATCTTTCGGGAAACTGAAGTCCATGGACTTACATTCAGCTATCCAAAGGCTGAAAGGAAGTTTGTACTGAAATAGCTGCACTCAAGCATAGGCCCCTTATTTCCTTCCCTCCTTTTTTTTCCCCTTCCCTCCTTTTAATTTCCTGTCTCCTCAATAAATTGAAAGATGGGACAGGTTGTTTCACTAAAAAATTAATAAATTAGCAGAACCGTTGAAATTATCAGTTAATGAAATGTGGAATCAAGTAAGGAAGACCATTGAGATTTGCAGTTTGTTGATATTTCTTACTGTTCCCTGTGGAAAAGACTTTAAAAATTAATTGATTACCTAATCATCGATACAAATATTTGGAAAACTACTGCAATAAATATTCAAAACCAAACTGTTTGTAAGTATCTGGGGAAAAACGAAGAGGGGTAACATGAATCTGCAAAGAGCACACTTTTTTTCCACATCATCTTGGTTTTGCGTTGACAGGAAAATGTACCCTGTGATACACAGCATCAAATTCAAGATACATAATCTTCTTTCATGACAGGCATAAAAATAAACCAAGGGACTACAATAGACACAAAAATTCTAAGATCAAAGCTACATTGGAGAAGGCCAAGAGTTGCCACAAATTGAGATGGTGACGTTAAGGAGACATTTAATGAGGGAAATTGAAGTGCTTTTATGTTTAAGGTGGGTGGACAGGTTGACAGCAATATGCTACACAAGCAGGAAGGAACCAAATCCCTCTACTTCATATGACAGCAATGAAAATGTGAGTGTGGAGGTTAGCACTAAAGGTTAATTTTTCAGAGGTTTCTGTGCCTGGCTCCTTCATGTTCCCAGCAGCTTGACCTAAGGAGCACTGTCATACTGGAGCGCAAATGAGAGATCCAGTTTGATATTCCAGGATACAGAGAAGCCCGTGATAGGCCTGCTCGCTACCTAGGTCAGTGCTGCAGTGATTTTGCAGCGTTGTGGTTAGCTCAGTGACCAGGAGTCTGCCATGACATAATTTTGCTTTCACAGTCAGGTTTATTGCTATGTTCTCTGTGATTCTCCTTCTTCAATCAGTTTGACCTCTGTGAAGTGGGAACAGAGCATTATTGATTCTGCTAGCTCTGGCAAGGTCAAGGACATCCTACCCCTGTCTGAAGGCTCCAACACCTCTGTCTTTCCTGCTGGACCTTTTGCCTCAGAGGCTAGAAACCTTCCTGATGTGGTGGCCAATGACCTGACCATGTAGATTATGATCACCATCTGTTAAAGTGTTTCTGTTCCCCCTTGCAATGCAGGGGGATCACTTTCTGGTGTACTTACTTCTTCCCTCTTCTTCAGAGTTTTAGTTTCAACTCGTTTAGCATGTCTTCTGGAGCTGGAGAAGATGAGAATTTTTCCTAGTTTGGTAAACCCTGCCTCCTTTGTTGTTGTTGTCATTGCCTATCATGTTGTAGTCATATGTGTTTCTGTGCTCTTTGCATCCCACCTTTTATAAACTTAAGGTCCTTGTCAGAGCGTACGTTCTTGTGGTACACGTTCTGTTGGGTCCTCTGAATCTCTGCCTCTTATTTCTTCTTGTCTGTGAATAGAGTTTTCATACTTACCTCCAGTCCAAAAGGGGGGAAATTCAGGCTCTCATGTTTAGCCTCTGCTTTCGCTAACTTCTTTCAAGATAATGTTCCTTTAGATGCACTCCAGTGCCTTCCAATGCAGTGTTAAAATTATACATTAGAAAATCAGCCTATCAGTATTCTTTCCTGAACGTCACATTTTTATAGGCTGTTCTGTTACTTCACACCTTTGATGTCAGGAGGAATCTTTATGTATAGAAGTCCAGACCTTTTAGAAAATCTCAAGCTGTTCATCTCCACCACTGGGTTTGCCTTTTCCCATGCAGTGGCCGTCTAAGGAGTGTTGACTTTGTACGGAGCTGTTATGAAACTGCCAAAGATAGGACTTTGGTGACTGTACTAAGAACTGTGTCAGTGCAGGATGTATCACACAGATACCTACAGCTCCCTTCATATTTTTACCACACCAAGTATGGTGACATCTCTAAAGTATTTAGGATCAAAATAGAGTGGTGCTACAATTCCTGTTCTGAAAGACTCAAAGATCTGTTGCATGAATTCATCTGAGCATTGTTTTTCATAAGGAAATCTGCACTTGAGAAAGTGTTGATCAGTCTGAGAGAGTCCAGAGGAGAGCAAGAGCCTCTAAACATGTAGAAAACAGTTCCTGCAGGAAAAGATTTCTCAGATTTGCATAGAGAAGGCTAAGGATACCATACCATTTTGAAATGTGCTGCTTCAGAAGAAAGGAAATAAACTCTCTGTTTCATGGTAGAGAGGGCAGGGAGAAAAGGTTTTAAATTACATCAGAGGAGTCTTGCTTGAGACAGATCTCAAGAACAGGTTTATCTGGAATGTCTTAGGCATTTGGTTGATCCTGCCTTGATATGAGTGAATGGGATGCATGGCCTAAGCAAGGCACCAGGGGAGAGGAAGACTGCACAGCCAGGCTTGATTCTGTTAGCTTGTGCCCCAGCAAAGACCTGTACGTGGCTGTAAATACAGTAGTTGGTGAAGTTGCTGGGCTGGGGCACAGGATAACACGCAAACCTCATTAGGAAGAGTTGAGAATTCTACTCGTTACCATTATTCATAGAAGTGTATGTCACAACATATAGCTGATGACAAAGTTGATTCAGGAGCTTCTCCTGTGCCCCAAGATGCTGGCTGTTCGTGAATGGGTTAAACAGAATAAAGCCTTCCGAAATTGCTGTTGATACGTGTGTTGTTATGCCAGAGTAATTTCTCTGAACAAGTATAATGTAGACCCAGAAATGGTTGCTCTGGAGCAACTGAGGAAGCAGGAACGAGTGGCCATGTGCAGGGGATAGTGGGAAGCTCTGACTAGGCTTTGCGCTTAGAAGAGTAATGCATCATCACACCTTGATTGCATGGCACTGAGCCACCTCACAACAGTTGACAGGGTGGTGTTGACTACTGCTTCTGGTGTTTAAGCCGGTCTGTTGGCATTATGAGAATACTGACAGAAGCAGTTGTAGCTGAGGCTGCTCTGGGAAGCTGCTACATCTCATCTAAGATGTGTTGAGTTATAGGTGCTCCTGCTCCTTTTCAGGCATCCTTTCATATAATTTTCTTCTAACATAGCCTTTCTGCATAACTGAGATACAGCATAAATTATCCAACCCAACCAATGTCAGGTAGACAGCTTTCTAAAGCTGGTTTGGAATAATTTTGCTTTTCTGGTTTGACAAAGATGATTCAGTATTTGACTGAACTACAGAACAGGTTCTGTAGTGAAACGATAAAATGTTTCACACTGTGATCTAGTAAGAAGGTTTATAGTCTTTAAAGAGTCTGTGTCTTTTAAACCTCAGACGGCAGGTGTAGTAACAAACTACCAAATTTTCAAATAAACTGCAAAATACCGTGATCTCACTCATGGTGCTGCAGAACAGCTCTGTGACAGCACTATGCATCCAAACACAGAGCCGCCTTTTAGGCTTCGTGGGTAGCAGGTTTTACTCTGAACACCACTCCAGTCCTGCTCATCAGTGACCAATTGTTAGCTGTTAGTCTGTGCACTGCTCTCTCCTCCTACTTCACCACCACTGAAGGCAATACTGGATAGGAACCAGTATTTATGCTTGGGATGAGGTTTTCTTGCCAAGCCACACTTACTTCCCCCCCCCGCCCCGAGCTTGCGTATTCAGCAAGAGAAGTATAAAAATGCTTTTCTTAGCCCAAAATTAGTCTTTTAAACTGAGTCTTTTTCTTTTTGGCTTGTTAAGATTGGGTAGAACTCTGGGATACAGTAACTCTTACTAATTAACTTTTTCATACAGCTCAATTACATAAATGCACAAGAGGAACAAAGGTTTTGAATCTGGTGGAAGGAGACACAAAAGTTTTAAACTCTTTGTGCATTTGTTTTGTGGAAGGACTGGTAACTGGACATCTGTTCTCTGAGTTCTGGACCACAATTTTAGCAGAAATCTTTGTCATTTTTCTGTGAGCAGATGAGGATTCATTTCTTGATACTATCTTAATTATGTTTGTTTTCCTGGGACAGTGGTGCTGTTGGACAGATACCAACTTGTCACTGCCACGATATAAGCCTTGGGAATCCTTACACAGCTCTGTTTCCTGACACAGAAATTGCCACAGTCTTCCCAACGTTCCGTTCACTGACTGCTGCCCTTCCCCTTCTCTACCCACTCTCTACCCAGATTCTCTCAGTCACTCTGCCCTTTGCTAATTGGTCTACTTGTCATGCCTCAATCCCTCTCTCCAGTCTTCTGACCTCATTCCACCTGGCTTGTGTTGGAGCCCGAGCTGTCTCTTGTATGGCCAGTGCCATTTTCAGAAGCTCTCTGTCTAGAAATCAGATGCTGGTCTATGGGCTTTTCTTTCAATTTTGGTGTCTCAGTTGAATGGCCCTTGTATGGGACTTAAATGTCTGGTTCTAATCAGAAAAAAAGAATATAAGACTAATGCAGGTTTTTTTACCTTCAGTTTGTTTTGTATCTGTGACTCCACTGGCAATAAATTTTGCTTCCTTTGCAGGTTAAAAAATACCTTTCCTTTACTAATCAGTAGACAAGATAGAATCCATCATAAAGATTGGCATCTGTCCTTCTACAGGTCAGCTCAACTGGCAAGCTTCAAGTGTTTATGATTCTCCCTGTTGAGCTGGCATTCACAAATCACCAAATACTTTTAATGCCTGTAGAGAGGCACAGATCTCATGTCCACTAAAGAAATGAACAGATTAAAAAAAAAAAAAAAAAAAATCATTTTTGCCTCTTAACTATTGTGGCTCATTCACTATTGTTAGTGTGCAACTGCTTCAAAGTGGCTTCCAGCAGCTCTGCTCTGTTGCTTTTACATAAGCTGTGAGAAGCATTTCCTGCGAGCAGTTTCCCACCTGTAGCATGTCTCTGTGCAAAGTAGTGACTTCTTTCAGCTCCAGTGCTTGAGCATCACCTTGGCTACAGTAACTCAGTCAATCCTAGACAGGTACTTCTGACTCATAACAGAGGAGCAGAGCTGATTAGTGAGGTAGGGAAGGTGGGACTGGTGATGGGACTGGTCTTGCAGCTTAGTGAAGGACTGGCCTCTATTCCAGTTCATACTGTTTACAGATGTTGTAAAAGAGCCAAAATAAAATTTGTTCTCGTGATTTACTTTTTAGACAGAACAGGAGCAATGAAGTTCAAGTGGCTTTAAGGCTTAAAAAAAAGTAAAACAACTCAACTTGTTATTCTTGCTAAGATTCCACAATGCACTTACAAACTTGTGAGTTCTTCTAGCATGTACGGCATGTACATTCAAAACAAAAAAAAATCTTTGTATATGTTTGTTTTCCTGATCACAAAAACACATACTGTAAGCAGAATCTTAAATGAGCTGAAATATATTTACTCTTTACACTTGAAGAAAAACTAGAAGCTATGAATTTGGTGTTTATGTTCTTGCAGGATGTGTCTGGTACGAATGAAGCAGGAGGGTCGCACAGGAAAATACATGTGTCGCTATATAGTTCACTGCATGTGGGAGGATATTGAACAGCGTGGTAAGGTGATGGGGGTAAGTAATCTTTGGTGTTGATAATCTTGATGATTCACATCTTTCAATGCTTTTGTAACTTCGCATATCTTAGAAGAATGCCCAAGAATCAGCCTGTAGCTGCTTGTTCATTTTTTATTAGCTTAAGTTGGTATATGTAGCCTTCACTCCTGACCGTTCATTCCTGCAACTGAATTGCCTGTTGTGTTGACCTTGTTTCTGAAACTGCACCATGGCCTGGATGAAGATACTGATTTGTCTGAAAGTAATTAATTTTCCATGTGGTTTACCATGTGATTGCAGAAATGGATGCTGCTATAACAGAGTGGGCATTTGTGGATAGGAATAAGCAGCTAAGGTAGGCAGAAACATGTCTGGTGCCAAATGTAAACCACAACTTGAGTAATTCCAGCAGAACTTTGAGTTTTCTCTGTATCTACATGGTGAGTAAAAGGAAAGTTAAGGGACAAGGTTTTTACGTTAAGTTCCTGTACGTGACTATAACTAGTCATTAGTTTATTTTTCATTTTGCATTCTTAGTATACCTAGTCTTTATCACAAAAGAAATGTTGTAAGGAGAGAGTAGCTCCAAGGATAGTTCATTTGCAAGTTTAAAGGAAGAACAAGGTTGGATCTTTTTGGTCCATTCTGAGGAAGGTTATGCTAGTTGGTTGTAATGGTCATTTCTGGCCTTAACATCTCTTAAGTGCGTTTCTCCAGCCTTGTGTTGGTGATAACCTTCAGAGAAGGCAGTGCAGAGGCAGTGGAAGTAGGGAGATGGTTTTCATAACTCCCCAGTATCACAGTGGTGATGGGAGACCTGATACAGTTGAGGATGCCTATGCCTGTGTTCAGGGCACTTCTAGTAGGAGAATAGGGCTGGGAAAGATCTCCTATGTTGTGGAAAAAGAAAAGAAATATTCAATGATTAAATAGAGGTTTTTCTGTGATTAAAATAAATTGGACTGTTAGAGAAGTGATGGTTTTCATATAGCAATAATGGCATATTGTCAAATCTTAGTTGTCAGCCAAATAACAAAGGGAGAGGCTGCTAGGGTATTCCTATTGGTGACAAACAAGAGAATTAACCAGTGAGTTAGGATTTGGTATGCAATCGCAGTAGTAATTCAAGAAGTTTCTCTCAGATCTTTTATTTTGTATGTGGTTTTAGGAAGTGTTGATTCTGGTGTCGCTTCAGTTATTCTGTCAGCAATGGATGTTTTTTCCTAGTTGTTGGGAATTTCATAGCTTTACTATGTTACAGCTTGCTTTTAAAGACAAGTCATCCTCTTAATCTTCTTTTGGATTATATCTAAATTCAGGCATCTTAGAATTTCTTGCTACATTAGTGGGCTTACATAAATTCCAACATGGGAATCTCCACTTTCCCGGTCAGATACCATAGGGCAGTGTGAGTGAGCCTAGACAAATTAGATGATAGTACCAGAGAAAAAGATTGAATGAAATAGCTTATGCGTTTTTGTTCTTATCCAATGCCTTCCATGTCATATCAGTGGTTGATATTGTGATACTGCTTTCTGTAGGAACTGAAGACAGCTCAGGTCTTCATTCCGGGTGTAAATTTAAGGCTGCTCTTCTTGAAAAGCAAAAAAAAAAAAAACCAACCCCAAACAACCCAGCCAAACACCCCACCTCCCAAAGGTCCCCAAAGTCTCTTCAGGGATCTTTTGATTCCATCTCTGCACAGAGAGAATGCTGCTTTGGAACAGAAAATTATTTCTCTGTTCCTTTTGACCCTAATTTTTCCTTATATGAACTAACCTCAAATGCCATCTTGTAGTTTTCTTTGCAGGATTTGAAGCAGCACCAAACAGCAAAGAGAAGCAAAGCTAGCTGTTTGCTACCCTTACAAGCATGCAGAACTCAAAAGTGAAGCATCGTGTAGATTAGACCTGTATTGAGATTTTTTTTCAGTAAACTTTTTAAACGAAAAAAAGATAATGCTTACCGTCAGTTCTTTGTAAAGGGAGGCACAGGGTTTCCATTTCTGCAAACTAAACTATTCCATTGCTCCCCAAAATTCCCTAAAGTGTAAAAAACACCACCAGTGTCCTTATGTTTTCATGCAATCTGGAGCCTCAAATGTTAATACATGCATATTATTGTCGTGGTTTAACCTCCTTGACCCTAGAGGCATGAGTACATGAGTTGTAAGAAAATTAACTCCATCCCGTCTGAAACCAGGACAATTATAATGGTATGGTTGCTGTATGATGCAACTGGAAGGAGATCTTAAGTTGTTTGAATGCCATTTGTTCTCTGCTTTGGCAGGTTGGGCATCTATTCAGTTTATCCTTGAATTTAAATTTTGCAATCTTTGTTTGTAATAGTGATCATGCAATCTAATAATGAGCATGCTTAGTTTGCAATAATATGATTCCTATAATATACTTCTGACTGTAACCTAGTGTTAACGTAGCTTTTATGTGGCAATAGCTGATGCTTAAATGAAGCATGTATACATTTAAAGGCTTGATCTCAAAAACAGTTACATGTGTGTATATTTAATATAGTTTAGCTGCACAGCGGCCCATTGATTTTAATGAGACTCCTTGTGAGAGAATGTGAACTCTTGAGGTAACAGCTAACTAGACCAGGCGCTAAGGGTGTGTAAGACAGCGTAGTGAACTCTCCCAGATTGTAAACTTGGAAATTAGATTGTTCTCTTCCCTGTAGTGTTTGTGGAGGCATAGGGCACTTCGTAATCTCAGTGATTTTTTTTTTCTTTCATCTTTTAATTACTCCTAATCTTTCAATCATTATTTTGTCAAGATGAATGAACTTTTTAGTCTCTTCTGGTAGTATTTATTGTATGTTAGATGAAAACAATTTATGCATTGATATTTGAAGAGGTTAGCTGTTTCCTTGTTCCTTATCATTGCTTTACTTTCCTTTCTTGGTGCTGGTGATCCTAGCTTAATACACCACTTCAGCCATGCCCCTGCCTGGGCAGTTCCTGTTTCTTCCATGCTTCATTCTTCTTCACTTACTTTCCTCCCCACCACATAGATGCACCCTGATTGAACTCTTTCTCACATCTCAGCTTTAGCAATTGCAAGAAGTTTTAAGTGATAAGTATCGGGCAGTTATTCTAGGTGGTAGGTTCTACTTATTAAATTTGGTGTATTTATCCCTACTGGTTCTTTTAAAATGAAGCTGAGGTGATAACAAAGGGTTTGTGAGCTGATTGAGGAGTATGTGTAATAGCTGTTTATTTTCAAGTAATTTAGTCCTGCAATCAGTATATATTCTGCCTCCAAAAGAAGATAGTTAAATATATCAAGGTAAGAATAGTAGATAAAAAGAAGATGACATTAATGTTCCTCTGTCGATGCTTTCAAATTTCAGAGTCTGAGCCGTTCTCAGAAGTAAGTTAAATGGAAAGAAATTTTATTGAATACTTTTAGGGCACTAAGTTATCTGCACAGTTCCTAGGGGGTTGGGAAATTCCATTCCCTGCTTTTTCTCTCATGCAGGGTATCAAAGGTCAATATTTAACTCCGCTTAGTACATTCCTGTATTGTGGTATAAGTGACAAAGCACTTGTATGAAATAGTTAGTTAGTTTAACTAGGATGCAGTTAGTTTAACTTGTTAACAGACAAAGCTGCAGTTCTTCAACTCATTTCCATATCTAGCAACATTTCCAACATTTGATGCAGAAAATGGATACTCCTGAATTGATATTGATTTTCTTATTAAAATATGCCATCTGCTCTTAAATGTAGAAGTTCATTGGAGCCGAAAGTGGTGGAATGTAAGGCATTTTAACTACTAATTTACATCAGTTCCAACTCCCAAATGGAGTTTGTATTATTTCAAAACCTGGTTGTTAAAATTGCTGAGATCTAAATCTCAGCTACAAAGTTTTGGGACCTGTTAGCCTGAGCTCTTTCAGCCCTCCTGAATGTCGGCAAGAGTCAGAAACCAAAACTTGACACAGCTGTAAAAACACAGAGAGAGCCTGTGGCCTCAGCAAATTCTACTGGTGCAGGCATATTTCAGATATAAATTTTACTCTGCTGTCCCTCGTACTAATGAAGTCAGTTTCTTTTGGTGGGTTTGCAGCCAGGTGTGTCCAGTTCTGTGGCTAACCAGTACTCTTTACTTAATTTTTCCACTAGTGACATTTCTATCAAACTTTAAAAACAAACAGAAAAATTGGCTTGATGCAATGGCTCAAAGTGTTAATAGTAACATTAGGCTGGGTAAAAGACTTCCTTTTGATCCTGCTCTGCCAGAGATCTCCACCTTGTGGCTTGCAGTGAATTTATACTATGCAAACTGGCAGCTGCCTACTCAGTTTGTAAGGAGAATTCAGTCAGCACTAGAAATAGGTATTTGTCTTCCTAACAGAGTTCTTTAGCAACCTGAATATTAACCTTACTGACCTGAGTATTGTGTTTCGGTAACTGTGTGTATATAAAAGCAGTTGGTAGAAGTTTCAGTGTAGTTTAATACCCTTAGATAAAGCTGCAGAGTTGATCAGGACTTAAAGATGCTAGAGTTCCCTGGAACAGGATTTCAGCTGATAATAGATATGAAGTTAAAATAATAAAAAAAATAGACACACACCCCACTCCACTCCTCCCCAAAAAAAAAAACCCAACCCCCCAAAAAACAAACACCAAAAATCTCAACACCCCTTCCTCACCCCACTCCCCTTCCTCCAAGAACCCCATACTAATACTTCTGGGTGCAAATCAGATGCTGTCTTAGAAAGATCCATCAGGCTTTATTCAAATACCTGTAAATTGTGGTAGGCTCATTTTAATGGCGTTAGTCTTATGTGTTTGGTGGCATTCTGCTTCTGAAATGACTACCTTTTTCTTCCAGTGCAAAATAACAACTCATTTTATAACCATACATGTTCTAAAAGCTGCAAGAGAGATAAGAATAGGAGAGGCTGTCAAGCCTAGTGTGCCAAATCTGTTTTAATTTATCTTAATCTCACTTTCCTGTTTTCCCACCAGACCACTTAGACCCCTGCCCCCTTTTTTT